TTGGGTCACACCCTGTCATGTACAGGGGTTACTCCTGGCTCATGCATTCAGGAATTACTCCTGGTGGTGCTTGCTCGAGGGGACCAAATGGGATGTGGAGAATCAGTCCCATGCAAGGCAAGCGCCCTAACAGCTGTGCTATCGCTCCAGCCCAGGTTCTGCACTTATTGACAAGAAGACTATGGCCCTCTCTGGCCCTGATCTCAGTACATACTGTTCTGAATAGTATGTATTGATTATTTAATAAATTATTAGTTAAGTATAATTAATTAATACATTGAACAGGGATGTATTAATAATACTATAGATTTCCCTTGAAGGAATATGAAAACCAGGAATATTATTATAACAACAGAGAGAATTAAGAAAGGCAGTCTTGCAGAGGGCCCTGAATGTCAGTTTTATAAAACAGGACGTACCATTATAAAGAGAGAGTTATTGCATGAACTGGGTTATTGGTTGTTTTTTTTTTTAAAGACTCCATCGTACCTCCAACAGATGCATAACCTTAACCTCGAATATGCTTAACCTTAACATTAACCTCATAATAACTGGATGGCCCAGCTTGACCCAAACACCTGATGCATCTCAGAGTCTTTGGCACAGCTACACCAGCTCACCACTGTCCAGAAAAACGGAACTTCCGGTCCTGAGACCTGACCCCACGTTTCTTCTGCTTCTATTCTTTCTCATTCTGTCTCCTGAGTCTCTTTGGACCGGATTCCAGAACACGCTTTCTGAAACTCTCTCTTTATTTCCACGTCGCTGCTCTTCTCTCTCTCTCCAAGACTGCTATTTCCAAGGAGAGCAAAGTACACAGGGGGTCTAGAAGAAAAGATGTTGGTGTTGAGGACAATGCATAAGATAATTTAACCGGGAAGGGGTGGACAAGGAGAAGAAAAGAAGGTCGTCCAGAAGAACCAGAATGGAAGGGGCTGAGGGAGAAAGAAAGAGCTCATGGAGGAAGGAGGAAGGGTGGGCCTGCAGGAGGAGAACCAGGAGAAATTCGTCTTCTGGAAGGCAGGATGGGACATCTAGAGAGGGCTCTGGTCAACATTATTGGATGTCATGGAGACATTAGGTAGGATGAGGGTAGAAACTGTGCTGTTGGAAACAGAAACACGTGGGCCAAGGGGATTGTAGAACACTTTCCCTCAAGCAGAGGCCAGGGCTAACAGTCAGCTGTGGAAGGAGACGGTCTGAGCTCGGGCTCCAAATTCATAGGACCTGTCTCCCAAGCCCACAGTCTTCGTCACTCAGTGGCAAGCATTGTTTTTCACGTGCCTGCTGGAATGTTAGCAGAGGGTCGTATGTGTAGAGTAAATAAAGAGGTCATCTAGTTGGCTAATGGTGCGATAGTTATAAAGCAAGGGTCAGGATCCTTATTCCTGCTTCAGAATGACTGGCTTCAAAGCTGTGGTTGACTTCTAGAATGTTCTATTCTTTTTTGAACATGTTTCTTGGCCACACCCAGGGTGCTTGGAGGCTTCTCCAAGCTTGATACTCTGGGTTCTGTCCTAGTGGCAATCAGGGGAGATGTGCCAGGGATTAAACCTGGGGTTCCTATAAACAACGCATGTACTTCCAGCCCTTTGAGCTTTATTCTCATCCCCATATCTTCTGAATCTTAAAAACAATTAATATTTCAGGCCAGAGCAGTAATACAGCAGGGAGAGCATTTGCCTTGTATGTGGCCAACCTGGATTCAATACCCAGCCTCCCAAATGATCCCTGTGAGCACTGCTATGAGAAAGTCTTGGTACAAAGCCAGAAGTAACCCCTGAGCACAGTCGGGGGAACCCAAAAAGCCCCAAATTTTTTTCTCCTGTGAATCACAGCTTCTAGCACCCAAATTTCTAGAAGAAACCATTTTTGTTTGTTTTGTTTGGGGAGGTGAGGCCATACCTGGTGGTCCTCAGTTTACTCCTGGCTCTACACTCAGGAATCACTCCTAGTGGTGCTCAGGGAACCATATGGGATGCCAGAGATTGGCCCCCAAGTCGGCCACATGTGAGGCACGTGCCCTATCCACTGTTTCGTCACTCGAGTTCCTGGAAGAAACCGTTTTCTCATATTGCTTCAAGTCACTTGATTATTGCCCGTCCCACCTCCCCACCCCCCGCCACCTGCATTCTTTCTTTCTTATTTTTTTTACTTTGGAAACACAGATAAATTCCTCTGGATGCTCCCAGTTTCTATAATCACATCCCATGACTGACAGGCTGTGAATCTGCCAGCATACAAGACACAGTGCCATGCTAGTTGGAGGGGGGGGAGGTTTCATTTAAATGCCTATAGAGAAAGAAGAAAGCATCTTCGTCCCCTGTAATGTCACTGAGCCTCAGAATATTTTTCAGGTATCAAGAGAGACAAAACTAATAAAATAATCACCTAGTAGGATAATTCGAGGACGTCAGGTGAGAAGGCCTTTTTTTTGAGAGAGTGAAAAAAGAGCCGGAACAATACAAAGGCACGCTCACACCCACATCCCTCCTTTATTCACGATTTTTTTTCTTACAGCATACTCTTTATTGTTACTTGTTTAGTAAAATGAGAGGGAAGAGAAAGAGAGAAGTATGTGCTTAAGAACACAGGCTTCTCTAGAGTGAAAAAAGGCAAGCAAAGAAACAGACAAGCAAGTGAGATGTGTGTTCAAGGGAGAACACAGCATCCTTAAAGATTATGAAATTGTGGGCCAGAGGGATAGTACAGTGGGGAGGATGTTGGCTTTGCATATGACTGACCCAGGGTCAATCCCTGGCGTCCCATAGGGTCCCCCAAGCACCACCAGGGATGATTCCTGAGTGCAGAGCCAGGTGTAACCCCTGAGCATCTCCGGGTGTGGCCCCCCAAACCAAAAAGATAAATAAAACAGAGAACTATGAAGTTATATTGCACCATCCTCCTGTTGTTCATTGATTTGTTCAAGTGGGCACCAGCAACGTCTCAAATTGTGAGACATGTTGTTACTGTTTTTGGCATATCGAATATGACACAGGTAGCTTGCCAGGCTTTGATGTGCGGGTGAGATAGTCTCGGTGCCTTGCCAGGCTCTCTGAGAGGCGTGGAAGAATCAAACCTGAGTCGGTTGCTTGAATGGCAAATGCCCTACCCTCTGTGCTATTGCTCCAACCCATGAAATCATACTACTTGTGCTTTTTTTGTTTGGTTGGGGGTGATACGTGCCTGTGCTCAGGGCTTTTTCCTGGCTCTGTGCTCAGTGATCACTCCTGGTGAACTCGGGTGACCATATGTGTTGCCAAGTCCAACCTGGAAAGGCGAGCATCCTTCATGCTGTATTATCTCTCTAAGCCCTACTTGCACGTCTTCTGCAGTAGAATTTGCTCAGAATTATAAAATGTCAAGTGACCAATACTGCTGGTTGAAAATTTTGGAAAACTAAGGAGTAAAAGAGTGCCCCCATCTCAATTCTTACAACCAACCACTGTTAATAATTTTTGTATATTTACTCCTAATTTTCTTGAAGGGGAGTGCCAATACCCAGACTGGTGCTCAGGGTTGACTCCTGGCTCTGGGCTCAGGAATCATTCCTGGCAGGCACGGGGGACCACGTGGGAGTCTGGGGATCGAACCCCAGGTCAGTTGTGAGCAAGACACATGCTCTCTCCAGTGGCTCTGACCCTGGATTTATTATTTTGATATTCATCGAAGTCATTATTTAAGTGATTAAGCGATATCTCACTTGGTATTTTATTCAATATTTGAACACATTTGTCTATAGTTAAAATCTAATAAAATTGAAATCATCGTATTTTTCATTCTACTATAATCATTCTTTAGAGAGTATGATTGAAACCAGGGATATGCTTGATCTCCATCTGAAGCTCACCAACAGTAACTCAAACTCTATATTATTATAATTTTTGCCTTACATTTCCTTTTCTGTTTTGATTGATGTTATATTATGTTTTCCTCATGACCTTTTAAAACTCTTTTGTAAACATGATTTTAAGTAAACACACACTATTATTTTGCACACGCACTACAACTTACCATTTCTATTTTGTAAGATATTAAATTTTTCTTGTTTTTCCATGTTTTATACAGATTGGAAAAATAATGATATGTCAGTAGTTTTCAGTATTTCAAATATATCTTAAGGTAGATGCCCAGGAGTTTAACGACTGAACTCAATAGATTTAACTATATATTTTTTCTTTATTCTTTTTTGTTTGGGGCTGGGGGAGGAGAAGGGGCTTGACACACCTGGCGGTGGTCAGGGCTAAGTTCTGGCTGTAATCAAGGGTCACTCCTGGTTGTGGTGAGGGACCATAGCTGGTGTAGCCTGAACACTGCCTGATATGGCCTGGTTGCTGTGAGTGGCCACCGGACCCCCGAAAATCTATTACCTTCAAAGTAAACACACATCATGACTCTTGGCCAATCTTAGTCGACATGGTCCTTTCAACGGCACCATGCTTGTTTAACCCCTGGGTGCCTGCAATTTGAATAGACCATATTCCAAGCAGCTATGTGACATTCGCATCAGGAATATCTTCTCGCCTCTCTCTAGTTCGTGTAAGCACACATCGCTCTTTTGGGTCTCCCCTCTCCCCGACAAGTCCTGTTTCAAATTATGTAGACAAAGAGTCAATCATTGGACTCTCTGGAGATCGCACTCATCCAAGCACTGCACTCACGGACCCATTCCCCCCCCCCCCACACACACACACAGGTCCCCAAGATGAATACATCACCAAAAGAGAGGGGTGCTCGCTCCAACCCCAGCAGGCAGAGGACAGATCCCCAGCACCGCCCCCCCCCCCCCCGTGAAGCTACCCCACTGCCTGCCACCGACTCCACGCAGGGCAGGGGCCTGGTTCTTATATATTTGGCGTGGGTTCTATTTTGGTTGTCGGTGGTGGAGTTGTCATCTGCCCCCTTTTCTCTTTACCCAGCCCCCAAGCCTGCCTCCGACCTGCAACCCGTGCCCGCCTCCACCGCGCATGCTCCCAGCATCCCTCCCCATCCCGCCCCATCCCCGCCTGGGTACCAGTCTGCGCTCCCCAGCCCCGGCGGCGAAAGAGATGGGGCCGCGTCACGAGCTCCCGGCCCCTTAAAAACGCTGCTGGCTGGAGCCGCCTCCCTCCCTGCAGCCCGCGGGGGGATGGAGTAGAGGCAGATCCACCGAGCTGCTCGCGGGGGCCCGCGATGGAGTTAAAGCAGTCTCTGGCAAGCCATTCGGAAGCCGAGAAGCCTCTCCGGCGCTATGGGGCGGTGGAGGAGACCGCGTGGAAAGCGGAGGGACTGGGGAGAAGTGAGTACTCGGGGTCGCCCAGGCAGGGGCCGGCCAGTTCGAGGGGGGAACGGAGCGTCGGAGCTGGGGAGGGGGAGTATCGTCGGGGCCCCCGACCCCCGCACGCGCCTTCGCAGTGGGGCTGGCAGCTCAGAGGGGGGAGCTACCGCGCAGGGCTTGCTCTCCCACGAACAAAAGGGGGACGCTCCGGCCGCCCCCCGCTGGCTGGGGACAGGGCCGGGCAGCCCAGCCGGGAGCCTGTGCTGGAAGGGGAATCCCTAATACGCCAGCCGGTCCTGGAAAGTCGGGCTGCCTCCCCTCCCCCCAGCAACCGAGAGAACAGGGCGGTTCTCCGCCCCGGGGTGCGCGCGGACCCTCCTGCAAGGCGCGCACCTCCCCGGAGGAGAGAGGGGGAGTGTCCCGGGGTTCCGGCAGTGCAACCCCAGCCCCCCACCCCTCGACCCCGCGCGAGGTGCTCCCGGTGGGTCACCTAGAATTGGCAGCGTCTCTTTGCCCACCTTCGGCTGGGTCGCGGTGGGAGGGAAAGGGTTATGGGGAGGGTCACCCGGGGTACCGTCCTCCCACCACCACCCGGTCCTTCCCCCTTGATCCAATCAAAGTCCTAAGTGGGGGACGCTCCCAGAAGGCAATTGTGAGAGCGAGCGAGCGTGTTGGCTGCTTCTCTCCGCGGGATTTGGGTGTCAACATGTCCAAAGAAAGGGAGGATATTCACGTTGAACGAATAGGACGCGGTAGCGGATCGTCTGGCCTTGAAAAGTAAAGGGGCGGCGGCAGAGACCCCCCTTCCCGGCGCTGCACGCCCTTGATGCGCCCACCCCGGCGCGGCGCCTCCAGCCTCACAGGGAAAGGCTCTCTGCCCTTCCCAGGACCGCCAGCTTCCCGGGGGGGGGGGGGGGGGGGGGGGGATCTGGGAACCCACCCCTTCACCCACCCTCGCCCCCCTCCATCCCCGTGGGCGTGCTCGTTCCCCGTCGCGGGGATGTATCTGCGTGCACTTTCCTGGAGAAACCCGTCACGGCCAATTCCGAGGTTCAGCTGTGTTCTCGGGGTGTATGTGTGTGTGGGGCGGGGGGTGTTCGAGTTGAAATCTCAGACGCATGTCTAAGTTCACCTGAAACCCTTAAGTGCTCCCCCAACCTCTCTCTTTCTTTCTCTGCCCACCCCCACACCCCCACCCAACCCTCCTTTAAAATATTTGCGTCCTGCCGGCCCAGGCAGCCCTTCCAAGTCTTTCGTACTCGGGTACTTGTACAAGGGGCAAGGAGTGGGCTTTCTACAAGCTCAAAATCACACCCGCAATGGCTGCCTGGTCTGGTTCTAGCAGGTCCTGTGCTAAGAACTTGAAACGCATCATCTCATCCGACCCCCAGAACCAGCTCCGACCCCAATATTCTCACTCTGCAGAGGAGGCAGAGAGGAGCAGAACCCAAACTGAACCCAAATCCCTTATACAGCAACCCCCCCGCCCCCCCCCCCCACACCACCAGCCCCCAGAGCCCCTTTTACCGACAGGGTTAATTGCTTCCAAGTTGGCAGCGAAGCTTTCTAAATCTATGCAGTTCCCAACTCCAGTGGCGGTGGCCCAGCTGGAGGCTGGAACTCACTCAGTGGGCTTGAGTGAATGTCGCGGGCGTGAAAAGCAGGTTTGTAACCTGGCCCTGCTCTCGCTGCCTTGCTTTAGCTCCTTTCTAAGCTTTCCTCCAGTCCTGTTTTCCGAAATGGTGATAATAATAGCACCTACCCAGTGCTTTGGTGGGGGATGTTCCACGAAACCGTGTTTGCAGTGCTTAAGGTAAGTGGTCAACATAACTAGCTGGTTCTCTCATGTGATGAATGCGAGACAGACCCTGCTTTATCCTTCACAAGGAATTCAAACCAGAATCCTGCACGAAAATGGCAAAATCGGGTAGTTCCCTAGGAACCCTCAGAGCTTTTGATATTCTCACCATTTTATCAGAAAAGTAAAATTGGAACAAGGAGAAAAAAATATGGAGGGTAGTCTCTCTCTCTTTTTATATATATACAAACACACACACACACACACACGCTAGAATTCCAAACCCAGGCCCTCTTCATGCAGAGCCCGTGTTCTAGCCCTTTGAGTCATCTTTTTGGTTCTTGTCTGTTTATCCTTTAATTTTAATGTTATGGATCAACAGATAGCATACATATCATATGCTATATATTTGATATGCTATCATATATAAATAGCATATATGATATGCTATCATATCAACATATAGCAAATTAAAATCAACATATAACAAATTAAAATATGTGTGTTTACACATGCATGCACACATATATGTATATGTTTGTGTGTATGTGTATATAAATGTATATATATATTTTTTATATGTATTTTTTTAGCTCCTGAATCGTTTGACCTTCCAAGAGTTGGAGGTGGCAGGTGGGCCTTCTCCTGCGCCCAGGGTGCCCAGCCATCAAAGGTTCTGACTCTTCCAACTCAAATGTAAAAACCAAAGCACAGTTTCCGGCCTTCTTTTTATGGGTGTGCTCAGATCCCTCCTTCTTTCTTTTTTTCCTTTTCCTTTCTAACACTATATACTCAGATTCTTCTTCAAGCACCACTTAAAATACTGAATTATCTTTGAGTCATTTTTTTTATCTCTTGCCTTTTAACTGATCCTGTCAATTTTTAAAAAATTATTAAAGCAGCTTTTTTCTTTTTGTGGGGGGAGCTTCCTTCTCCCAGGGGACTTGCGGATCCCTTCTGTACCGTCTGGGGCTTCTATTTATTTATGAATGAAATGTGCAGATTAGTGCTTTTGATTCTGTACCAAACCAGGGCTGGAATGCGTGAAAATTGGCAGAGAGAGACAGAGACAGAGTGCGAAACCCACAGAAAAGAAGCTCTGTTTAACTTCTGCCCGTGTTGAAATATTTTCTATTTTATCTTGAATTTAAAATGGGGGAGGCAGAATTACTCAGTTTCACTTAAGGTGGGATAACTGCCATCTTTAATTTTAACTCTGGTTTTTATTTTTTTTATTTTTGTTTTGTGGCAGCACCACCAGTGGTGTTCAAGGGACTAGGGGTTGCTGAGAAGTGGGGTTTCCCAAGGGTAAAGCCTGCACCCCCCGTCTTTGAGCTGAGTTCTAAGCATCCGGCTCTGACTTCAGGGTGGAACATGCCTAACTGTGAAGCAGCAGAGAAAGGGAGACCTTGAATCAGGTGAACTGGGTCTAAAGCTGCTCAAATCCTTTGTCCAGTTGTCATTTGGGGCTCCTGGCACCCCTGTGTGCGTGTTCCCTCTTCTGTAACCTGGGACCCGTCCTCCTCCTCACCACCACTTAGTGCTGTTGGCCGGGTGAAATGAAATCTGGCAGGGCAATGAATGAGCCTGGCACTCCTCACTGCAGGACATCGGGCAGCGGGACATGAGCATTCAAAAGTGTTTGATCTTAGTTGCCCCATCAGTTTTCTCATTGTGTTCGATTTCTTTGTGACTCCCAGATAATATTACATAGCTATGGCTTGCCAGTTCCTGGGATGTGTAGACAATGGCTTTTGAACCCTGCAAAACCCCTATATCCTCCTTCGGGAAAAATGCTAGCAATCATGTCCATCTTCTTGGGAGACATTTTCCCACTATGACTGAGGTGGGTTTTTTTTTTTTTTGGCAGGGGATGGGGTCCTTAATTTTTCTGTGGCTTGGATGGAAATTATGTAGTGACATTGCAGCGTGGTTAGATATATGAAAACATTGTCCATCGTGATTAATGGAGGGAGCCAAAAAGAGAGGTGGCTTTTTGAAACGCACGGTTGGTTCTTGGGGCCATTTCTTCATTGATTTGAGTGTGTCTGATAGGATCAAGATTTTAGACAAGACAAGGAAAGCGGGGAGAGGGGCAATGCAGGGGGCAGGAAATGCCAGGAGAATCAACCCCACTGGCAAAAGCAGAGAATAGCAATAGCCACAGAGCAGGCGATTGGAGGGATAAAAAGCTCAAAGAGTAACCTCTCTGTGTAAGCCCGGGAGAGGTGCTGGTCCAAGGGCATGTGCTGACCAGCAAGCAGAGTACATGGGTAATAGTGTGGAGGCTGAAATGATAGAAGTTGCTGGCGATGATCTCATGCCTTCTAGGGAAAGGCTTTGCATTACCTCATCCTTTGAATTCAATATGCTAATTATGTGATTCCACTTTTACTTTTCTTTCCTACTTTCCTCCCTCTTTCCTTTCTTTCTTCCTTCTTTCCATTCTCTCTCTTTCTCCCTTTTCCCATCCCTCCCTTGCCCCTCTCTTTTTTAAATTACATTTTTATAAAGTTGTTCATAATAATTTGTTACATTTAATATTCCAACTCCAGTTCCACCACCATTACATCTACCCACTACCATATTTTCAATGTTTCCACCCCAACCCCTACACCCTGCACCCAAAGCAGGACCTAAATAACTTATTTTTTCTTGCCTGTTATAGAAAAAATCCACTAAAAGTGATCCCCAAAACACTGAAAACAAACAAACACTGTCCTCCCGTTGTTCATCAATTTACTTGAGCGGGCCCAGTAACGTCTCCATTGTGAGACTTCTTGTTACTGTTCTCGGTAGCTTGCCAGGCTCTCCAAGAGGGGCGGAGGAATCGAACCTGGCTCGGCCGGGCTGGCTGTGCGCAAGGCAAATGCCCTACTGCTGTGCTATCGCTCCAGCCCAAAAAGTGATCCCAAAAAATTTCCTTAAAGGAAAGTATGTGAAGATTGTTGTATTTCACACTTGTAGCATCTTTCTGTCTCTGTCTCTGTCTGTCTGTCTGTCCCTCTCTTTCTTTCTCTTTTTCAGGAGTAGGATGTTTTGGGGTGTGGAGTGAGAATACAATGGGTAAGACACTTGCCTTGCACGAAGTGACTCTGATTTGATTCTTGACACCACATATAGCCCTCCAAGTCCCACCAGGAAAGATCTCTCAAAGCAGAGCCAGGGGTAAGCCCTGAGCACTTTCAGGTGAGGCCCCCCCAAAAAAACAAGAAAGATAATC